GAATGATATGGGTTTGAATATGGAGATGGCTGCTCCAGCACATGATAATGGGAAACCATTTCGCCTTCTTCATAAAGCTACCACAATACAGGGAAAGGTACCTTAATTCAGTTAATGAAATGATACGGCATAGTAAATTTATAACTGTTAAGGCTGTCAAGAATCGTCTTGCAAGGTGGAAGGAATGTTTTGAGGCCAAAACTTAACCGTGACGCGCCATCTATTGCCTCGGATCGCTTATCGAGCTATATGTTTCCAAGTGCTGCCAATAGAACAGGAAATTATCTGTCATCCAGAAATTTAAGAATGAAACTGCCATAAAAGATGGTTTATGTGAACACTTCAATGCTGAAGGCTTCAAATATCCACTGTCCTTCACAACATATTTTATGATATGGAAGACAGAAATAATACCAGATGACTGGAGCGAAGCAATTCTGCTCCCAGTTACCAAGAAAGGTGACCAGTGCTGTAACGAGGAATTAGCCTACTAGACGTCTCCAAGAAAATTTTTGTTTCCCTTCTATTGAATAGACTTGTAGCAGTAGGATACGCTCTATCCAAGCTGGATTCAGAATGAGAAGTAGTTGTTCAGACCAGATATTAAAAAGGGCGCTGGAACATCGTTTTAAATATCTCCATCGTCAAATTTTCCATCGACTTGCCGTTGCCTTCGATTGAGAGAACCGCGCTTTGGATGATAATGGAACGCGACGATGTTCCAGAGATCATTCGACTCATAAAAGCTTTTTATTAGCTTACATCGGCACGGTTTTGTGTATGTGATGAACCGATTCATTCGAAATAAGATATAATGTTCATCAAACTTGCGTACATTCGCATACAATATTCAACTATGTGATAGAATGGACAGTGAACACCGCTTGTCGACATTCGCACTCAAGAGGTATATAAATCAGTCCGGAGCATCATAAATCTTGAATATGCTAATGATGTAGTTCTCGATAATTATAATGAAATGCTAGGCAATGTCAGCAACTGCAGCAAGAATTGACTTCAGAAGCAACAAGATCAAATAAAATAAAACGAAAATCTTTTCGTCATATGTAGAAGCTGGTAATATATACCTAATTTCATAAAACCAATACTGGTTGATGAAATGCCCGATTTTAAATACCATTCATGGATCCACTCTAATCCCAAACGACCAAGCGAAAGATGAAGTCTCATTCTGCAGTCGATGCTGTGCTTTGATGGAATTTTCAGATTAATTTTAATCCTTCAATTTCAAATTGAATGGTACAACCCGGACAACAATAGCTAGAATACTTTTTTCCTATTGGCAAAACCTTTATGGGATCGTCGCGAAATCACCATAAAAACGAAAGTCCGTGTAAAGATATTGAGAATTATTATCTACCTTTGTATCTAAGATAATGTTTACGGGTTCGCCGAGCGGATAAAACCTAACTTGATTGCATCCACTCTCGCGCAAAACGACTTGCATGAAGAGTGCTATCATGGACCGTCACTCGAGTCAAAAATTGAACTGATACAGTCAGGAAATGTATTACTACAGTGTCAACCAGCTTGGATGTAGTCAGCGGAGCCACACTCTAAACCAGTTGTGGTGAAAGCTGCAAGAAGAAGAAAGAAAGAATTCAGAGACTGCTGAAGGAACGACAGTTTCTTGGTGAAATTAAAATGAATTCTCAAAATTCAAAAACTAATTATTTTTGTTTTAAAAAGATATCATATGCGATCTTACTACTTTCCCTATGCTTCCTATTCTAGAATGAAAAGAAACTGGGGTTGAATGATGCAATATAAAGATTTATCTTAAGCAAATGCTTGCGAAATTCAAATCCTTCTTCAGCAAAAATATTAACCCGCCAACCCACATTCCGATAACTGATAGTCAAATGGTCAGTGACGATTTCCTGAAGACGCATCTATTAGCGCTTCGAGTTTCGCTAATTTCTGATTATGAATTACCTAATGATATATCTGATTCTGATTTATGAGCCAATAAACTCAATTTGAAGGCTCAAATTGAATAATTTCCTTCCTGTTGCAAGCCTTTAATTAATTTGATTGGCTGAATTAACTGCAAATGCGGTGGTACATCCGATTCTAATGAGAGAAAAACTTTATTATTTTATTATTTTATCCTTCGCGAAATGAGTTTATTTTCGTTCATGCATGGAGTTGGCAATGCATATTTTTTTCATCATTCGTTATTTCTGGTTTTGCTCCCTCCATTAGCCATAGGGAAAAAAGAACTTTAAAAATTTTGAGCTGAAGCTAAGGCTATTTGATAATTTTTTTGATTAATAGGATGAATACATTTCATCAGAAAGCACCATTTCGCGACAAAATCACAAATCTCCGACATTATCTTTAGCAATTTTATTTTAACAATTTTCCAAATTTTTCCTCCTAAAAGGAAAAAGATCAAATCTATTATACTACTTTTTTCAAATAAAAAAATATTCAGATAAAATTCTTCCACATTTTGGATTCTTGCTATCACAAAATGCTTAAGCAGCTCTGCATATTATGCAATCTAAAGGTTCTATAGGCAGCCTTTTCCTATGGCTGCCTTTTCTTGCACACAGTTCTCGAAGGTTTTTCAACGTTAATCACTAGTAAATATTTTTAAGACGTTTCGTAAACTTTAATCTCCTGTTAATCCCCGTGGCTTCCCGCCACAATAAGTTTTTACTCATGATTTTGATGTTAAAGAAATGTTATTCAAATATTTTAGGTTTTATTCATTTAATTTACTTTATTTCTAACTTGGTTTTATATTCGTTGCAAAAAAATAGGCAGAAAATAGTAATATTTGTTGTTGCCTTTCACCCTATTATATTTGGATTCTTGGATTGCCTTTTTTGTAAGAGCAGTAATAGCTATGTGTCGCCACACGTTTAGATAGAAGTTTCATCCTCAAACTTGGGTAGTTAAACTAATAAAGGAGAAATCGCAGAGAATTAAAGATAATAAATTATTAAAAAAGCGCATAAATAAACTAGAATGCCTTCGAAATACAATCAAATCTAATGAAAATTAAAAATAAATAACAAAAATACAAAAATTGTTGGGGACCGCCACTCGAACCCAAAGCATACGATGAAAATAAATTGTTCGGTGAGTGTGACGCCCATGCCAAAATAATTGAAGGTTGAGGTTCCTTTCCGGAAATTGATTATAAATTGGAATTGAACTATTTTAAAAAAATATGCTATGATAAAATTAATTAAGTTAATGGATAACTTTGGTGAATCGAAATCACTAATTTAAAATATATCTGGAGTAAACGACTGCTGCAGTTGCTGGTTAATGCTTAATGCATAGCCGCCAACGTTTCTGGTTAACTGGTTTCGAGTCCATTATAAGGTGATATTTTCTGCCGGTGAGTTTTTTGGAATAGAAGTATAGGATTTCTAACACCACCAGAAATTTTTGCAGTTATCAGCAATTTTGCAGTTAATAAGAAATGATTTAATTAAATATTATGCAAGCAATGGCTGTTTTCTTTCTGTAATATTTTTTCTTGAATTTGCTTAATTTACCTACGTTGTCTGCAAAGAAAGGTTACTGCCAGTTTACTCTGAATCGAAATAATCATTAAATAAGCTGTAGAATAATAATTAAATAAAGTTGAATAATAATTAAATAAGATGTTTTTTTGCGTTTTCTGTTGAGGATCGATAAATCTTCTTCATTAATTCAATTTGGATTAACTGAATTAAAAATTATTCTGCAAAAAACGGAGATCTCTTATTTGTTTTTCATCAAGTTCTTCACCTTTGTTACCATCGTTTATCATTACAGCACATCTCTTTTTATATTAAAAACTCTTATATACAGGCCTTTTTAATTTGTGAAACTGCAATCCTTATAGGTTTATGCCGCAAGTCGATTCGGTGCCATCATTATCAACATTTCGGTTACTGAATTTAACTGGTTTTAGATCATTTGGATCAAGATTTTGTTCCACATTACCAGATAATTGAAGTTTTAAATATTTCAGTATCAAATTATATCAGATTGCGAATGGTAGTGGTTCAGATTATTAACAAGGTTTCCAGTCATTAAGAAATTTGGATGGGGCTGGCAACCCACTCATAGTCCTATCGTTATGTGACTATCGGGCAAAATTTCTGTGTTAAGGCGAACATATGACGTTAACCATATATTTCAGATCGAAAAGAGGTCAGTTGTTTTATTAGTGGAAATTAATCGTCCTAGCAAATGATTCCATGATTTTAAATGTTTTGACAATTTGATTTAAAATCAGAAAATAGGCAAATTAATGGTTTCATACACAATATATTATTATTTAGAAATTGTGTGACGAAAATGGTTAATAGCACTTTTCGCGTGAGAAAATGTAACTCTGAAAAAAATTTAATTTAAGCTCTTTTCTAGCCAATTAGTCTTACAAAAACTATAAAAAATGTAATTCATTTTTCACAATGATTTTCCCAGATTTTTACATCATTTTTTTTTCGTAGCTACTTATTTTCATTCTTTCCATTCCCTTATTTCTTGAATTCTTCAAAATCTTTTTCAATACTTTTCTGTCGCAAAACACGTTAGCAGGACATGAGTGTGTGATGTATGCTTAGACAGTCATTTCAGAATCGATCCTATCCTTAAACTACCAAATTTGAGTAGTACCAGGGATTCATTTGTTCTTCTGTCCTCAAATGGCTCTCTGACGAAAACATATCGTTATCATCAATTCAACTAGTTTAACTAGAAATAAGTTGGAAAAAAATAAGACATTCATCAAAGGCTTATTTTATCTTGTTTCAATTTTTCACAAATGAACATTTCTAACTGGTCATTTTTTCAGTTATTTTTGATAGCTGAGGCTGGACCCCAGGCAATCATGGAAAATTTACATGGAGTTGCTATGCTCATTGCAAGTTTTTATGAAGTACTTTACATTGAGGGATTTCATGCATTGCATTGAGAGAGGACATTGAGGGATAGGAATTTCTCAGTATCTCAGTGAATACAAGAATTAATTAAATTATTATATATATGTTATTAGTGCATTTCAGTCTGCATTAATCGGCATCACGACAAATTCGATGGCTATTTACATAATATCCGTTTCATCCCACCTTCACAGTTCATTTAGTTACTTAAATATTTCACAATCGACAGCAAATATCATTGTTTCAGCTGTTTTTTGTTTTTGGTCAGCCCCCTTAGCTTTAGGGTAAGGATTTTTTTGATAAAATACCACTGACAAAATTCGAAATTATTTCAATAACGACTGATCAATTACAGTGAATCGTTTACTCATAATGCACTAATATCACAAATTCCTGGTCATTTAATATTATTTTCATGGTGGGTGGCATTAATTTCTCATTTGGCTGTATCTTGTAATCGTCTTATTGCTGCAACGCGTCCAACTGACTATTCGAAAATTTTTGCAACTCGTAATACAAAGATTATAATAATTTTCGCTTGGATCGTATCTTTTTCATATAGCTTGATATATGAAATAGGTAAGTTTATTACAATTGCTTTTATAGGATTATGAGACTTGTGCGATCTAAAAGCATCTAATTTTTTCAAATTTTCAACTTAGTGTTTGATATTTTTTTAGAATTTTTATTGAGTTAAAAACAAGAGCAACTTTGGGAAATTATGATATAACAAGCGTAGTTATGACACCTTCCTCTCTGCATGATTTTAAATTGATAAATTTTATTGATGAACAATTACCATTCCATTGCCATTTTAATTGTTTTATTTTTAGATGGTTGTAATTTTTGTTTTAATCGAGTTTCCTTAAGATGGCAATATACCGAAACACCTTGTGGAGTCATACTATCAAATTATCTCGATCTTTTTGCTTGTATTTTGCTGATTGTATCAGTGTTTATCATCGATATAACTACACTGATAGTGCTAAAAAGGACAAAACCGGCAAGTATATTTATGTTTTGGCGCAGTGAAACTTTAACCTGAATGTACTACTTTTTTTTTGAAGAGTTTTCACCATTATTTGTTAAAGTTCACACTGTTATTTATTAATTAGCGATAAAAGGATCCGCTAATCTCCACTCGAGCCGCTGGCTTGTCGCACTGGACTAATACGCCAGGGAGTCCCTTGGCGATAGATGAGTTGCCAGCATCAACCGGATTTTTGGACGCGTTTAGTCCTGGGGAGAATGAAAAATAGTATCGGCTCCGAGTTGAACAATAACCCACTAAGCCATCTCACTCGTGGCATAAGCCTATGTAAATAATATTATTTTCACCAATGAATCAAACGACAATGGATAGCGTGCACTGTAAAAAAAATGCTTTTAAATTTTCCAATTTTTTTCGACTGATATTTTATGAAAAGGTAAATAAATAACTACTAGTCTTATTTTTAATTTAATGGATATTTTAAATCTTAACTTAACTTCCATATATTATATTGCAATCTTTTTTTTTAGAAAGTTGGACAAATCTTTCCAAAAGCTATTTTATATGCACGTCGAAAAAAAGAAATTATATTTTATATCCAGGTTTTCATAAAAAATTTCGTAAAAAAATCTTAAAAAATGTGGGTATATCGTAAGCATATTAAAAATTAAGTTCAAACTGTTATTTATTAATTAGCGATAAAAGGATCCGCTAATCTCCATTCGAAGCAAAATAGTTATTAATGAGTTGAGCGTTTGTTGCCAAAAGTTATGCAGGTCGCAAAAAATTTTATTGCTGATTTTCCCTACCACTGTCTTCCTATTAATCATACTTCTTATTCATGGTTATTTTATTGTTTCTTTTGTAAGATCTTCAAAAAATATTAATAACAATTAATAATAACCAAAATTTTGCCAGTGAATATTTGGTCAAAATGAAAATTTTAAATTTCAGAACCAAAAAAATTTTTGATCAAAATTAGGGGAAAAAAATTATGATGAAAAAAATGCAAATTCATTGGTTAAAAATAATTTCCTGCAAAATTTTCGGCTATTCTGTTCAGGCTTTTTGTTCAACTGTTGCTTATTTGGTAACGGTAATCTTTTTCTATGTCAATGAAATACTTACCAGTTCTCCTGTCGCATCGTTTTACATGACAACGTTTCTTTGGGAATTAGTGCATATGTTAGATGGGTAAATACTTTTTGAAAAATTTAAATCCCGTCCCTTTATTTATTGCTAAATATGAGCTACTTAGCCATATGTATCACTACAGTTCCATTGTAATATATCGTGCCATATTAGCAAAATTTAAGTTAATGATTATCAAACTAGCATCTACGAACCTCCTAACGTCCACTACTCTCAGTGTGTCCACATGCCTATGGGAGCCATGATTCAAATTATAAAAAATTATGTTTTTATTTTATTTGAGTGGTAAAAAATCATTTTAGTGTTATATTCACTGGAAACTGTTAGGTGCAAGTTGTATTGTGTACTGGAGATCCACTTATTTTTATGGTGTTGTCTAGAGATTTAGTGGGAAAAAATGACCACTGATTTAAGTTCGACAAAACGGTCTGGTGCTGATATGAAATAACCTGTATAAAATTTACCATAAAATTTTTTATCATAATTTTTTTTTAACATATGATTGAGAATTAACCTGCCATATATTTTCATTTTTTGATGGTACAATTTTCAGGTTCATTTGCTTCATGTTCCATTTGAAAAGTAAGGAGCACAAGGAAAGGAAATCAGGCGTCAGATGATATCTGTTCCTCCGAAAAATTAAATATTTTATTTTAAAAAACCCACTAAAAATTTCATCATTGGATTTCATAAGACTCATAGTGGGGAATGAATAATTAATTGAGACTTCTGATAATTAATCGAGGCTGAGGATTTTTTTATTTTTCCTCAAACTGGCAGTCTCATGTTTGCAAAAAATCGTCAATTTTATCGGTATAAAGTAAAAAAGAAGCAAAAATATGAAGTGAAAAAGAACAATGACAACTTCTGAAATGAGGCAATTATAAAAAGTCAAAATTATAAATCAGAATCTATGGAATTTATTTGAATTTTATAAATTTTAGTGGACCATAACTATAAATTACCTAATGCTGAGTTGCTAAAATGTTATTTTCGTAAATTTGCTTTTATTTATTTATTTTATTTGTTTATTTGAAAAATTATCATATAGGGACTAAACCATGAATTATACGTCATATGTTACGTCCTATTGAATAATTTTATTTATGGATTTGACAATTAAAAAAAGAAAAACTTTATAATTCTCTTATAACTCTCTTCATTTCATCTTTCATTAGCAAGCAAATAGTTGTGAGATAATCGTCACGTTTAAGATGGAAAACAACAGGAATTTTGTGGAGCTTGAAAAAAAATTCGAGTTTAGAAATATTTATTATATTTGTTACTTTCATTGCGTTTACAACATATTATTTTCATTTGTATTGATGTCAGCTAGAAGATCCTCATCCTCAGATCACTACAATTAAAAGGTTTTCTGCGCTCAAAAATTTATTGTGCTGGCGGCATTTAGTATGTTACAAAGTTTATATTTGTTGTTTCTCCGTCTGTGCTTTTGTTTTTAAAATGTTGGATTGGAAAATTTAAAATATTTAAATGATATAAATATAATAATATTGAAATATAAGAGCTTAACTGATGATATTATGGGAAATAATAAAAAATAGATTTCAAAAAAGTTTTATTTTTGTGCAGAATTAATTAGGCGAATGATAATCAGATTTAAAGGTTTTTGATTTTGATTTTGGTTTTTGCTTTTGAATTTTGATTATTGGTATTAAAAAAATGAATCTCTAATTTTTATTGTTAATAATAATTTTAAATGGGTGAAATGAAATTTTCGATCACTAAATTAGAATCGGTTAGTGATATAATGTTGTGCGTGTGGAAATCGCCTTCAAAATAAACTATTTTGCAATCGCCTTTAGTTATTTTGCAAATTTATTTTGGAAATAAGATAATGGAAATGAAGATTTCGGATTCAAAATTATACTTTTTTGAAAGAAATTTTTATTTACTTTATTTATTATTTAATTCTCGATAAACTTTTCTGAAATTATGAAGTAATAATTTTAAAAAATCAAAAAATTGCTAGTGCCAGAAAACCAGAAAAAACTACTCGAGTGGCATAAAATGCCTCAGTTTTATTCGAATAATTGATAATCGCATAAGTAATCAGAAATAGATCGTCGTCGTCAGTCTCTGAACAATAGTTATTATTCAAAACAAATTTCAAAATCTCACATGATCTGATGGAAACATTAATATATTTTATTTTCGCTTCTAAATCCTATTTTTTAAAATACAACACAGCAATGCAGTAAAGTCATGTTAAACGTTAACGTACGAATAAAAGAAGCAACCAGTTTTTTTTCTCTCATCGAATTCTATTTGTTCATGAAAACCTTGCAGTTTTCATAAAATCAAAAAATAAAAAATTCACTTATTGCTATTATATAATTTGATTCTTCTATAATAAAATGTATATGAATATAAATGTTTGTAAAAATTGTGCAAGAATGGCCTATTTAAACTAGTAAATTGCACTTTTGAGGAATAGCAAAATTTTAGAATGTATACAGTTTATATGCTCCACATATATGATTAATGAAACGCTAAATCGCTGCAAAAAAACTTGAGATTTGTAGATTATTTCGAGGAAAGTGAATGAAGAAAAATTTCAATTTTATTTCCATTTTTTAAAAATCAATGGTAAAATTTCATTTCAAAACCAACAAACAAAAAAATAATCTATGAAAATTTTAGTTATCCATAAGCAAAAGTAAAAAAAATTTCTTACCACCTGTAAAATCACTTCTGGCACTGTTCATAAAACGCAAAAAATCACAACAGTAAATTTTGGTTTAAAGTGGATCTTCGATATTAATCCAATCAAATTAAACATTTTCATGCCTCCTACAATTTGGATTTTATGAATTTTAAAAAGAAAAACGACCCATAAGACTATTTAATTAGCTGAATGCAACATAAAGAGTTTTTTTGTTTTGAATTTCGTTGGCAATTTTTGTCTTATGTTCACTCCTTTCTTCGAATCTGCCCATTTAACGTAAGTTATCAGTGAAATATAAGGATTATTCTATGGCATATAAATACAACGTAGGCATAAAAAATATTTTCAGATATTATAGAATCAAAATTAACCATGGTTGTGAATTCAGTTGTTATTCATTCTTCCCTTGGTCAACAAAATTAACAATAGCTAGAAATATTTTTTCAGCTGTCGAAAGTTACCAACCGGCTCTATAGAAAAATTCATCTCTATGATCCAACCGATCACTTAATGAATTTTACTTTTATATAATAAGTTCTGTGATTTCTTGTAGGCTTTACGTCTTCAACGATATATTCTTTTCACCTTTTCTTTTCATGCGATTGATTGGCTCACCATTGTATAACATTGATATACAATGGGTTTATATTAAAATTCCGAAAAAAAAAGGAAAAACTGTGTTGTCATTTCTTGACATTTCTAAAATTTCTTGATATTTCCTCTTGCCATAAAATAAAGTGACACCATTTCTGAATTTATAGGGTTTCAAAATTTTTCCTCTTCTCTCGGATTTTGGTCAATCTAGATTTTAAGCGGCTTATATCATGCTAAAATAATTGTTTATTTATTCAATTCTCTCACTTGTAAATTGAATGGGAATAGTTCGTTTAAAAAGTGTAAATAAATTGGATTTTCCACATTTTTTAATCGCTGGTTATAGCCAAATCTCAATACAAATATGCTTATTCAAAATTTATTTATTGTTTGCTTATTTTTTCTCTTAAAAAGATACTGTTTTGGTGAGTGATAAGCATCATACTTCGTTATACCTTTTTATTCTAAAATTAAGCTTCAAAAATTTATATTTTATACTTTGTATTTTTTCTATATATGAATATCAGTCTATCACGAAAAATGTAAGAGAAATAGAAATTCCTTAGGAACTCATTTAATGTGAATGAATCGCATTTATCTGTGAATTGCAGTATAAAAAAAGGATAAGTAAGGAGTGAAAAATGATAAAGACCTGAAAGAGCAGTATCACTTAAAATAATCATCAAAATGTTAGTCGAGAGAAATTGTTCTCATATCTAAAAATTCATTCCTAAAATAGATCAGCAGCGCTATTATTAAAAACTATCCATGTATCCATTTATTAACTGAAATCTTTTAAAGAACACAAGGAGAATGTACCTCCGCTATTTACTAATATTTTTATCATTTTCGTATTGCACAACTTTGAACTGTTTTATGGGACGATCAGTGAATATCGCGAAAGGCGATTCAAATTTTCAAAAGTACAACTGTGGTTTCAATTCTCGCTATTGTCTGAAGAAATTTTATCCTTATCAAAGTAAACTTTTGTTCTCAGCGATTGATCAAACTAGCGATTAAAAAATAGAGGTTAAGTGATAATTCGGTTTTGCAGACAGCATCAGCGTAATCGAAAGAACTTGTGATCAGAATGGACAATGCTTGGTTACCGTTTTCGCATTTAATATTATCGATAATTAATACTTATATTTTGTAATAGCGACATCAGTAGATGTGGTCATTGTGCTTCTTTTTCGAAAGTTTTTTTCTGACGTTTTTCTAAAACTAATGAAGTGAATCTTTTTTTATACTTTTTAGTGAATTTTTCTTTATTTTGCGATAGCACTGAAGCTCAAAAAAACTATTTTTAGGCAACAGGAGACGGTTGTTTTTATGATCCAAACAGCAGTTCAGAATTTTGTTGCTGCAGTAGAGATTTCTGCAATTCTGCAGTTTCTATCGAATACAGTTATGTGACGATTGTTTTGATTTCTCTCATCACAAGATTTTTATTCTAAATGCATTTTATAGCACATTTACTTATATGAAGCGAAGTTTTTACAGCACTAATTTTTAAGTTTTTTTTATTTTTTAAGGATGAATATAGTCTTAGATTTTATAAATAAAAAAATCATACAAATTTGTCCGTAATTATTGCTTATATTTCATTGAATAAAGTTGTGGATATAATTAACCATTTAATCTATTTAAGTGTCACCTTCTACACAAAAGATAATAGCAAAAATAAATTTTTTTTCATTCTAAAGATTTTCTTGAAGTCTGAGATATTAAGAACAATCATTTGTGGACTTGAAAAACTGCAATCGGACCACTTATGTAAATAAATAAAAAAATATTAAACTTAGCTATACCGAATTTGCAATAGCACTCTTAGCTTCGAGGAAGTTTCGCACAGAGAAATGAATTAATGCGATCTTGCCACAAAATAGAAATGATTTAACTACATAATTTGTAAAGTGCTATTAATGAGTTGTGAATTAAAGTGCTATTTCAAAATTAGCTAATCAAAAGTTTTATTTATTTTCATTAGAACATTTCTTTCGTTAAAGGAAAACATATGCAAAGTTTAGTACAATGCTTGCATTCTGAATCCTTCGGAATAGCATAAGCATAAATTTACTGCGAGAATCGGCTAACAAAGACTGCCGAACGTGGTGGACATGGGCAATATGCTGCATCATTTCCTGGAAGACCAACATTGCCAGGTGGTCCATTTTTGCCACTGGTGCCAGCTGGCCCCTGCTCACCAGCCGGCCCTGCAGGGCCAACTGGTCCTGGAGCCCCATCCGCCCCTTTGTCTCCATTGGGTCCAGGAGAGCCTGCAGGTCCAGGTGGCCCAAGAGGTCCTTTCGACCCTGGTTTTCCTTGCCCTTTTTGTCCATCTTTGCCGGGCGGCCCTGCTGTTCCAGCAGGACCAGGGGATCCTTGTGGTCCAGCATCTCCAGGTGGCCCAGTCGGACCAGGCGGCCCGTCCTTCCCTTGGACTCCTGCCGGTCCAGATTGGCCATCTGGTCCCGCTGCACCAGCTGCTCCATCTGTGCCTGGTGGTCCAGGAGGTCCAGCAGGACATTTTATGCATGTAGTATCATGTGGGGGACATGTGACTGGGGCGTATGTTACTGTGCTGTCCTCGCCTGGAGAGCCAGGAGGTCCAGGTGCTGAAAATTAAGTAAATGAATTAAATACATATGCTACTTAAGAATTTTAGGCTTTTATTTATTGTAATGTCAATTATGTCATCGCAAGAGTTTTCGTTGACAATTTTTGCTTCAACTCTTAAATTTTTAACAAAATTTTTTTCTATATTATTAGATGTAAATTGTAAAACTTTTCCTTAATTGTGGAAAAATTCTATTCATTACATTTCAAATTCAAATGACTTACTTCCATCTGTTCCGGCCTCCCCAGGTGGTCCTGGCGGACCAGGTGGGCATATTGGTTTTACTGGTTCACATTGACAAAATGAAGGGAGTCCTGAAAAATCTTGACGTTTCTGACGGAAGATGCTATCAAATGGATTTTCACGCGGTTTGCTTGGAGGTGAAATATTTATTTGGATTTCCATCATTTCAGTCCAAGCTGAATCAGTTTCAACGCGGAAAATCTGTAATAATGTTATGCCAGCTTTTTTTTTACAAATTATCATATTAATCAATGCGCCATTTTTTCAATAATAGATTGTAATCTATCTTCTTATAGCACTCAACCACTATCATTCAGGTTTGGCTGGCTCCTGAAAAGCTTTAGACAGATCACTATGGGATAAAATTATACAATAGATAAATTATATATTAGATAAAATTATCGGCTCCACCTATTTTATTTTTGATGGACTTAGTCCATAATACTTTCAACTCATTGTCGAAGCAAAGCATTACTCGGCCATAGTACGCTTTTAATAGTTAGTAAACTTCAAAAACAAGAAGTTGTTTTGTAATTTTCGTAGACTCACAAAATATATATATATATATACTAAAATTAAATAACAGAAACTAAATAATTTGATGACAAAAGGTTTCGATGGCAGCGTCATCGAATAAAAAACAATGACGCTGTCAACCGCAATAGTATTTTTCGAAAACGAAGAATTCACTATGAAAATATGAAAATTCAGTCGGGTAATTCATGTGTCCGCAGAAAATGAAAATAAAAAATTATTAAACATGGTGAGAAACATGGTGAGAATTATGAAATGTACGCTTGCTAGCTGTAAAAAAAAAAATGTCATGCTTTGAAAAAGTTTCTAACCTGAACTCCATCAACAACCTCATCGTGAATTTCGTGTATGGTGTTGTACAATGAGGGAATGGTTATTAAGCATGCAAGGATAGCGAAAGTACTACATGTAGCCGCAATACCAATCACAATCTTTTCCTCATGCATAACTGGAAAATGCTGATCGATGGAGAAAATGCGATTTATATATGATGCAAACAGTACGACCTTCAGACATCGTCAATTCGCTATTTCCTTTGTTTCAACCAGTTTTACTTAACGGTTTCTCCGCCTCGTCCGTTATATATAATTGCTTCAGGGAGCCTTTCAAAAAGAGTAAAAAGTTTAAAAAAACGCTCACCATGCTGTGAACAGGTGTTACTGTATATATATTTTGCTACTGCGCTGGAAGATTTCCGAAGAACTTGCCCAGAGGTCTTGATGAAGTTTTCTTGAAAAATATTTTTAATAAATGGTGATGAATTTTGTCTCAAACATTGAACTATACTAGCCTATAGGAAAGGTGAAAACAATAAATAATTTACAGTGACATGCAGTAAAGAGTGAACAAATTTCATAGAACTTTCTTTGACGATATCACTGAATAAAAACTTTTACGCCTTCACATAAACTTGGCACTACAATTCACAACCAAATTTCTAATCAGGATGAGGTCAAGCTCATGAAACTGCTGCGAAGTTCTGCAATCAAATATTATCTCTTACAATTTCTAGCCAGTGATCTTCTTAAAAGTCCTGATTAGATTTCAGATCAATAGAAGAAATTTGTGACCGAGGTAGTGTTGCTCTAATTGATTATTAAGTTCTGTCTCCATCTGTTTCTTGCAAATAATAATGCTTTAAAATGATTGGTTCTCGGTACCAACCTACATGTCTTTGATGAAGATGCCTCACTTTAACTTATCAGTGCAGCCAACTAAACTAGAAACGGTAAAAAATATGATCTAAATGAAGTATAAAAATTTTTTATATTACTTTTTATTTGTGCTTTTCAATACATATTTTCGAAAAGTTCTGCCAGGCTTTAAAGAAGATTGATGACAAAGAAGTAACTCTTGTTGCTATGTTTTTTTTTTCCAGCCATATTTTGCATATAAAATTTTTTTCTATACGAGACAATGTAAAACATTAACGAATTTTGGCAAATCGAGCGAAACTAATTATTTAACAAGTTCTTTAATGCAGCAAAATAATGAATTTCTGATGCCCTGACGAAAAATTTTTCATCTAAATTTTGTTGCTGTATTTTTTCTAGAATTTTCGATAAAATTTCCTGATGCTTACGCTGTAATTATTTTTTTCAAGGTCTCAATAGGGCTTGTAAAAATGTACATTTTGGTTAAGAATTTGATTTCCGAAAAATTTTTTTTATCTTGTGGCGAAATAATGCTTCAAGGCGTAGAAAACTTGTTTAGTTCGTATTCACTTCTTTCATCAAGATTTCCAGATTCCTCTATTTGATAAAAAATAAAAAACATGAAAATCTAAAATTTTCATTTACTTATTTAATCAACCTCTTATACATCATCCATGGTTGCATGTTTCTGGAGTGGACTCTTTCTTTCTATAAAATTCTATTCGATAATCATCTCAGATATGTTCTCATAAAACTTTATAAAAATGAACCATAAAGACAATTGCAAAAAAATCTGCAAGAAATGCATAATAGATGCTTTCATGATAATTCATCAATCATTTACCATATTTAAGGAATTAACTTTCAGAAGTTTTTGTTGAATTAAAATGCTCTATAAAAATGATATTTACCAATTCCAGGCCACCGCCTAATTTTCTAATAATCAAATATATAAATGAATTGCCCAACTTTTCAAATTTTAAAATTGATTACCTTTACCCTATTTATCATTTTTAGGTAATAGAGTAGAGGCTTTAAACAGCTGTTAAACTTAGCAACCTCTGCCAGCACCTGTGAGCTGCATATTTTATATCACTGGACACCTGTTCGTAAACAGATCTAACGGCTAATCGCTTTTAATCAGTCTGATCTATAAACATTTATTCGGCAAATTAGTTTATTTAGGCAAGAGATTAATTTCATTTTTTCGTAAAAATAAATCTCTAATATCAAATAAAATTACTGAATTAAATGTTTACATTCTAGCGCCCAACGAATTTTTTTGGGAGACTGCAAAATTTGAAACAATGCAATTATAATCGATTTCATGACTGACAAAATCTTTTATTCCTAAACAATTACATATAAAAAATTATTAAAAATTAACTTTTTAACTAACTATACAAAACTGCTTTTAAGAAAACTGCTTTTTTTCTCATCTAATTCGTATTTGTACGCGATTATTTTACTAAACCGAAGGCAAAAAAAGTCGTTAGTGCCAAAATATATTTGCTGAAAAATTGTATAGAAAACATTTGATATTTTTGTAAAATCATACTTTTCGAGTATTTGAGACTCATAATTTTATATTAGTGCAAATCATTACTAAAAAATTCCCTTCATATTTCCTCAAAATATTTTGCTTTCTAGTACTTAAAGCTAAAGAACTTGAGAAAAAGCACTGGTAAGTTTGAATAAACCACTTTCTATGACTTATATTCTATCGTTTGTGATTCTATCGTTTGGCAGTAATAGAAGCAGCTGTTAACGTATATAAATTGTTTTTGTGTTTGCAGAATGATCAGTTCAATTTTTATCATTTTTCTAATAATCCATCGATATTTTGGTGCTGCTCATAAATACAATGTGGAAAAGGCGAACACGATAAATGAAAGAGTTAAGCGACATGGCGCATGGCATTCGAGTGCCGATTCAAACGAACAACTTGTTAACAATTTGCAAAGTTAGTGTATTTCGAATATTTCTTTAAAAAATTCATTTAGAAAACAACTATGGATTAAGAATGCAAGCTTTCAAGAATACTTGTGATTAGTGGCACATGATTTTTTTTTTGGGGGAGCGCTTACCGTTTTTGCTTAGGTTCGCTCCATTGACTTGAACAGAATTTTACCACAGAATCACTTGGCTAGAAGTAAAGATGAGTCCAGCACTGCCTCGATTTTTGAAAAACAGGTTTGTTCCTAACGGTAACCTCACCACTGACGCTCCGGAATGAGAACCTATTAAGTCATTCAGTCTACTTCAGTTAATGAACAAAATAAGAAAAAAAAATATGAACAGTGGAGTGGCAGTGAAGAAATCACTTTGTATATTTGTTTCGTTCATCTGTAAACAAGGGTCAAGCTGGGCATGCGGCCAGCCATTCGGTTGGATAAATGGCACAAGATAAAAAAAAACAACTTAACATTGAAACAATAGAAGAAGATGGATAAAGATAACGAGATAAGATACAAAAAAACCGAAAAATTCTTTAATAATATTAATATCACCTTGCCAGAATTTTCCTTACCAAAAATTTTCATTACGCGTGGAGAGCAGGCAACACGCCTTAAATTGTTTTTTTTAAATTTCTAAACCTTCTGCTACATTGATTTTTTAGGCAAATACTATAAATTGGTTGGAATCCTTATCAGCAGCTTTTAGCTAATTCCATTACTAGTGCCAATGACAACGAGGTTTATATAAATTTAAAAAAAAATTAACATTATTAGAAAAAGATGTAAAATGATTAAGTGCTTTTACATCACACTAATCAAACTATTTTAGATAAATGGAAAATTTATATATTAATTGAAGAGACTCCTGATAACAATTAAAGGGACTCTTTGATTAATGATAACGTTCCATTAATACAAGCAAGTACCATATCTTGCTAAATATCTTCATGTACCATATCTTGAATAAAAGTTGTGAAAATTCAGGATTTGAATTCCATGCCAGGCCAACATTTTAAAAAAAGAAGGGAAAATCTAAAGTCCTGAAAAGCAAAATTTATTGGATATTATTATGAATATATATATATTGAATTTATACTGTTTTGTAATTTCAAAACTTCAAAATTGAAATATGCTTAACCTAATAATCCCAATAATCTTAAATATGACCATTCAGTTAAAATAACATCCTTAGTTAGTTTGTTCTAATAATGTGAAAAAGTAGTGTAAAAAAAAAGAACTATGGATGCGAATAAAAAACTGTAGATCAATAATTCAATTTTGCAAATAAGTTCAAGAAGTTTCAATCCATTACTTCGAGTTACGTTAAAGTTGGAATTAAAATTACAATAAAATTACTGAAGGATTGACATAACCGTTGAAAATTTTATAAGAGTATATCCGAAATTTCATAAGAATGTAGTAATTTCACTTTTTTAAATTTTAAGAAATTTAAATTATGCAATTGCAGTTTGCTTTTATAGCTAATACGAGAATTAGGATACAAAAGACGAAAGAGTTGAGACTTTTCTGTAGTCCTTCGAATAATTTGTGTGACTTAAAATATCTACGAGTACCAGACAATATTATATTCTAAGTGGGCCTAGCAAATAACAAGGAAACTTTTATTTTTGAAAAAAATCAATAAGTCAAATGTTTTAGAAGATTTTTTTAACAATTAGCCTACGGAGAACAAAATCTTAATTCTGATCAGTGGTTAACCAGGATGTGATAAATGATAAATGATCAATAACTTTGAAAGGAATATTATCGACATAAACAGTAGGAGAATCAGAGACGAGAATTCTGCATTTTTCTGTAGAATTTTTGATTAAATACTTTATACAGATATTTTGATTTATTTACTGTTGCGCCATTCGATTTTATTTGTCATTCTGTAATATTTGTGAATTTTCGTTTTTCCGCAAAAATGATAAGTCTTAAAATCGCCGACATATATATATATATATATTGTATATAAGAGTAAGATGAAATATTAATAACTCTACTTTAACAAAACATTAATAGAATGCAATTACCTTGAAGTATCCTTAACCTAATCCATATTATATGAATAAACGTGGCATTAATACGAATCATTTGAAAATTCAGAATACTTAGGTAATCTTAACGCCCTTCTAAATAAATCTCCAGTAACGCCTTGGCCAAATCTAGATGGATAAAAGAAATTCGTTGACTTCGATTAATGATAGCAGATCATTCATAGAGACTGGACAATAATTGAAACTGGGAGATAGGATGGCTCAGTAGGCTGCTCAATTGGAAGCGCAGATGCTGAGGTTCGATTCCCTGCAGGTAAGCCTGTACAAAAATCCGAGTGATACTGGCGACTCACCTGTGTTTCTATCGCCAAGGAACTCCCTGGCCTATTGCCCA